TCCCTACACATGGCTCCAACAATGCCACAACCTCCGAAGAGTAGTACAAATGGTGAATTTCCCAGCGACCCCTATTTCTTTTTGGTTAGAGGCACAACCGCGGATGAGGGGACAGATCCCGGGATCAAAAGAGCTATCCAAATGAACTCCCACTGGTGCTGTGTCCCTTAGGTCTACCGCAAAAGGTCATGGGCCGCTATTCAGAAAATGCAACTCCATCTTTTAAACTGGGGGGTGGCCAAGCTGCAGCACAGGTGCTAGAGGTGCCAACACGGGCAGCTTGTGTGGCACGCAGTTGATCAGGGAGGGGACAGGGAGCGCAGTGGCACACAGGGCAGGGAGCAGAGAGCAAAGCAGTAAATTGGGCAGGGAGCACTGGGAAGGAGGCAGGAAGCAAAGCAGCAGATCAGGCAGGGAACGGGGATCAGAGAGGCACTCGAGAAGGGCATGGGGCTACTTTGTGGGATGCTTCCCACTGTTATCCTTTAAGAATCACATGCTGGGGTTACTTGATCACCATAGGTTTGCAAACCTAGGGAGTCCAAGGAGAACAAGCAAGACTGCTTACATCCTTCCGGTGTGCGCAGAGTAACGAAGTCGTTAGTGTTGTAGATTTTGGTGAGACAATGGACCTGGACTTTGACTTGGTACGTGCAATCCGGCTTGAGGACTTTTAAGATGCTGTTTGTTTTGTTGCTGTGAGTTTCTAAAATTTTCCAAATACTTTCACCAACCATCCTGTGTAGGAGATTAAAACCACTTAGGTCTGGAAGCAGTTTGGTAACAAGAGGTTTTAACTTGTCTCAGGAGCGCGAATCATCAGGCTATGCTTTTAGAGACTGCTTGTTTTTCTTGTTCATTGTTAAACTTGAAAGTTAAGCAGTTTCAAAAAGCAAGTTACAAATAGCTGAAGGATTTACAACAGCCACTTAAATCAATTTTTATTCCAACTACTCTCCCCTAACTTGACTCTTGTTCTCTCCTACTAATTGTTTCCCACACAAAGAAAAGACCCAAAGGATTGTTTCCCGAACAAAGAAAACAATCAGAAAAAGAAGCTGATTACATAAGGAAAATCAGTAAAAACACCTATATGCAAAAGTGCTGTCAAATGCACGCTGAAAAAAATAACAGCAAAACAGTTTACCATCAATCTCCTCCACTTATAGACATCTGGGGGCTGGGTTTTCATGCAGAAACAATTTTTTTTAGGTTGAAATGAATCCCCGTAAGGCCCTGATCCCACAAAGAGCCTAAGGTTTCTCCTAACTTTGTCACGACACACAAAAACCCACACTGACAGTAAAGTTGTGCTTGGCAGAAATAACTTGTGCGCCTTACCTATAATAGACGTTATAGAGACAGGATGCGGAGGGCATTTTTTTGGGTCGAGCCCAGGTTAAAGTCACATCACCAGAGAAATCAGCAGTCCACTGGAGATTCTGGACTTTGTACACAATTGTGTCATCTAAGCAGACAACAAGGAGCATTATTTTACTGGAGGGAAACCAATACAGTGCTTCACAAAGAGCAGTCAGTGCATGAGGTGCTTTGAAGCATACGCTGAATCGGAGCTCATGGATAATGCCCCATTTAAAATGACGTTAGAAGAGTATCTCTGGTTTCCAAGTGGCCCCTCTCTGCAGCCTGACCTAAAGGAGTCACTATTTTGCTTGTGAAAGATGCTTACTTATGAATCTACATCAAAACTGTAAACAGTCACGGTTTTCTTTTGCATGGTTTTTTCCCCATATTGCCTAGTTCAGAGTGGGCAGTTAGAGGAAAAATAGTTCTGGACTGAATGGAGCGGAGAGATTGTGGAGATCTGGCTTCTAATGCTGACTGTCTGATCTGGAGCGACTGGGACGTCTGCTCATCCCGACTTTACAATGCTGCGCAGAAGGGCAGTCTGATCTGGTCGTTGCACCAGGGCGCCTGGAATTGGAAGACAAGGTTTCTGATCTTGCCAAGTGATCCAGAGCAAGCCATGTTCCCTCCCTGTGCTTCACGTTTGACATCTAAAAGAGGCTCCAGCAACTGCAAAGCATGTTGAGATGCTTGGCTGAAAGGCCCTGAAGGAGCGCTGTTATCAGTATACCTACCCACTGGTTAGTAGATCTCCCTGCTCCTACTCGTCGGTCCAGTGTGTGCTAATACCCCCTCCCCTATCTCTGCTGGCCAGCTGGTTCTCCTCTGTCTCTTCACGTGTAGTCTGTCCTGCTCCATCTACACCCCTCCATTCGCTGTCTTCCTTCAACTCAGGATCACTGCTTTGTTGACAGATACCTCTTCCCTCCTCCAGTCTGAGCCCAGAGCTGTGGACACGAGCAGCGCTCCCCAGGCTCTGCTTAGCCAACTGGCTTCATTCCTCCATTTATTAAGAAAACCAAACAGAAAGCACTGAACTGATCCTGCTTAAATTTCCTAATCAGCTGAAAATTAAACCAAATGAGCCTGCCGGTCCAAAGGGGAAGCGCTGAAACTCCCAGCGGCAGTGCTGGCTGGGAGGAGAAAGCTGTGGCTTCAATTCGGCGTTCCAGCCTAGCTCTGGGTCCCGGCAGTGCCATCCCCCCCGAGTCTGGGCTGCTTCTCAGAATCAATATTTAATTAAAGGACTAAAAACTGATTGATGCTCAATACCCCAAGCGGTTCAAGTTTTAAAATGGCTGAATCTCACGGCTGGGAGGAGACGGTGATCGATCGTTACTGTTATCTACCCAGAACAGACCGGGGCTGGGTTCCTCGCCCATCAAAGTGCAGCGTGTCTGACGCCGCAGGGCTAATGAAGGAGGGCATGAGAGGAATGAGCAAGTGGGGAGCATGGAGCTCAGGTCAGTGCAAATATTCTCCGGGTCATGCTTGCAGAGGAGGATGCAGCTTGCAAAATCGCACCTGCCCATTACCCATGTAAATCAGGTGACTTCCCTCCTGACTGCCCTAGTATTACTTTTGTAGGTCTGCAGTTGCTATAGCAGTAAATGGACAATGATGTTCTCTGAAACAGGAAGGCAGATGGTCTGTCCACTCATGACTCAAGAAGGACTGATTTTGGTTTGTTGTGAATGGAAGGACAAGACCCCATGAGACGGTCTCTGTATTACAATGTAGCCCAACCTATGACAAATGTAAGAAGCCCTGTGATGGAGCTACCTACCAGTGCAGTTTTTCTCGTCGCTGCTATCTGGGCAGTCAAGAAATCCATCACACAGTTCTGTTGTCATGAGGCAGGCCTCCCCATCTTCACATCTATAGCCATCAGGGCATGACAGTGTGCTGGGTGTAGCTGAAGGAACCAAAAACACAGCATGACTCAGAGGTTGAGAGTTTCTTTCTTCCCTGAATGTGCTCTCTGGTGCTGCTAACCAGCAACCATGTTCAAATGCAGAGGTGAGTGCATTACATTAACAGGTCCCTGAATAGAATTTGCAATTATCATTCATGACTACTCCATCACTACAGCCCACTGAGATCATTTGAGATGAAAGCTGCTGCAGTATATCGGTATGAGACTGTTATCACCGAGGATGCTGGTAATAAGGCTGGTTCAGAAAGATTCAATGTTATGTTCGGAGATTAAGAACACACACAAGGATGCTTTAAACAAGCAAATGAGAGGCGATGACAGTTATCCGAAGCAGGGTTTTGCTTTCTGTTCCCTGGTGGTGCAGCACCTGAAAGAATGAGGTCCTGGCTCCTGATCATCACTCCTCAGTGCTACGGGACAATAGTGGCTTTGCTTTATTTATTTATTTTTTCAATGCAAACATCAGGCATTTTAATATTCATCTCTACGGATGAAGGGAGTGGGTTGAATTTTCCAATTCGGGAAAACAAGTCATGATGTTGGCACCTGGAATGGGGCTCTATATGTCTATTACCACCTAGCCAGTGTGGCCCCAATCCAGACACGAGTTATATTATTACTGATTTCTCACTTTCTTACTCCAGTACCGCACTTGGCACATTACATTTCCAGACACAGTCCCAGCAGAGCTCCCAGGGGCCTGAGACATTTTATGAGGCTCTTCCCATTAAAGAAAGCCTGGATGAAGGGAGAGCCTAGGGCCCTCCAGCATGCAGGGGACAAGCACTTACGACAGTTCATCTCGTCCGTGCCATCCTGGCAGTCTCCCACGCCATTGCATCGCTTCCAGTTTGGGATGCATTTCCTCAGCTGCTGGCACTCGAACTCGAATCGGCTGCACCGGCCCAGGAAGGTGCTGGAGGTCGCAGTGACATTGATTACTGGGTACCGGGAGGAACAGAAGAGTGGTTAAACTGCACAAGTCTGAGCAGAGCTCTTCCCCGGGCAATAGCATTGACTGACAGCTGGGTTCTCCCGGGCATCGGCTGGACCGAATAAGTTCAGATCCCCCCTCTCCGCTAGATGGCAGCCTCTTCCTGCTTAACAAGTATCAAACTCTCCAGCAGCTGGGAAATAACCAGATCCCGCTTCTCCATCTCCTCTCTTTCAGGAGGACTGTAAAATCAACTGACTTGCTACTCTGTAAACCCAAACTAGAAATGGGGAAGCCAGCCCTGCAGGTCTCCAACGGGGCTCAGCTGTGCAGCTGGGAAGGATGTGTCTGCATTGCCTCTGAAGGCACAGCGCCAGCTCATGGAGATGCCCAAGTTAGCTTTAAGCTCGCAGGCTTGGGGGCCAATTAACCGTGTAGCTGGAGCAGCACCATGTTCAGCCAGGGTTGCAAGACCCGCCTGGTACCCTGGGTAAATATTCAGGCAGCTGGGGGCTGCCATGGCTATGCTGCTGCTGGTCCTTGAATGAACCTGTCTCAATCTACCTCGGGTATGTCTATGTAAGCCACTGTCACATCATGGATGGCAGTGGAGGGGTGTAATAGTCTACCTGGAACTGGGACTGAGGGGTGATTTTCCCATTAATCCCTGGAAGGCAAGGACAGCAGCAAATTATGTAGAAATGGATGTGCTCTGTGTGAGCCACGAGAGCTGTGCCCTTTTACATCAGCATTGAATACTGGCCCAATATCACATTTAATGGTATCTGCTCCCTGCAAAGGCATTTATGGAAAAAAAAGCGGGTAAAGGAGGAGAAAGCCTTACATGAAGTTGGACAGGCTTCCTCATCAGAGCCATCTGGGCAGTCCCTGTATCCGTCACACGCCCAGCTGTTCATGATGCAGGCGCCACTGTTACAACGGAAGTGATTAGGTGAGCACGTCGTTGGGGCCGCCGTGGTAAAGGGCAGTATCTGCGAACCTAAAAATAAACCCGTGAAAGCCGGCTTTACTGGCCACATCCTCACATCTGACTGTGCTGAAAGGGCCCTTTCTGTTCCTCAAAGACTGATAGGGAAAGTCCCTGAGCTTTGATAGAAAGAGGAAAAACTGGGCATTGCAAATCAACTGCTTGCTTCCAAATTGCAGGATGGGGACCTGCAGAGCCAGGCTGAAACATGCAGGGAAGCAGGAGGCAGAAGACAGCAACCCACATGACAGTACAAACCTATTCAAATTTGCACTGAAGCTTGTGACACTTCAGACAGATCAAGGTGCCGGCCAGTAGCACCTGCTGAGAGTTTTGCATCCCTGGCCTAGCAGACAGGACTCGGGGAAGCAGTTGGATTTCATGCTATCTAGATATTTCACTGGACTTGCTCCTATGCATCTTCTCCATCACGGCACAGAGACAAGTACCTTTTTGGACCCTAGGACTATGATCAAGGTATGCCTCCGGGTCGAGCATACAAGCCCTCTTCACATTTTAAGGCCACGGTCCTGCACATTAGATCTGTCTGGGAGGAGATCTGCAGTTCCTG